CATATATTTTGAAATAATAGGGGGGAATTAATTTATCTAATAGTGAATAATAGGGTGGGTTCTTGGCGAGATATTGTCTATCTTCGCAATGCTCGTCCATTTCTCAATGATCTTTGTTATTACTCGACCATTGGTCGAAATGAACTTCGCATGCTACGATAGACAATATCACGTGTATTTTGTGGAGTATTATTTATCCCTTGCTTTGTCTAAGATCTTGTTCGCCATACGATTTTGTTTGAGTGCTTTTCTTATTCCTCTTTGATAGAATTTCTTGTATACTTCACATGAAGACCAATTACCAAAGGCTAGTATAGCGTCTGTGTTTGCCCCGGATTCTTGAGCTAGATATGCTGATATTACTTTTAAATCCTTTGCCCTAGCTGTCGGGTCCGCCACTGTGATTATGTTCTTAAGCTAACCCGAAATCGTATCAACTGCGGCAGGGTTATGCGGGGGCGTGGAAGTTAAAAATAGTGTCTTTTTTCTCATTGTTAGTTCTCCAATCCTTAGTGCGTTCTAACAGTGTTTGTACAGCAGCCACAGGGCATAAAAGGGGTTCATCATCATAATGTTCTATTATAAGCGTTTTTTGTCTTAATTTTTTCTCTCTGTGGGTGATGGAGATCTTATGTTCCTTGGGCTTGTCGATATTGCAAGAGTAACCATTATTTATCTTGGTCATAGATTTTAAGGATATACGTTGTAAGTCACTAGGTCTCGCTGCTGAGGTAATTGTTAAAAGAAATGCTGTTTTCTTGATCAGTTTTATAATCAACATCTTATTATTATTACCCATCGCCGTAATATGTTCAAGGCACGGGATTATATCAATAGTGTCTTCTGGTGGGGTAAAGGTGGATTCTTTTTGTATATTGCTAACATAATCGTAGCCACAGAAGGGTGACGTCCTATTTTCACGTTGTCAACCAAATCATGTGTCTCACTAATAGCAGAACGATAAGAAGCTATAGTGTTGTACGCCATGCCTCTATTACTCATTTCTGTTAGAAAATCTACAACATGGTTTACAGAGCATTGAATGGGATCAATATCTGATTCTTCACACCAAAGAGTCCATTTTCTAAGAGCTGAGCCGATTGTATTATTTGATGATCTTTCGGTTGTGCTTTCCACCAGCTCGACAGCTTCTTGCGAAAAACCTTTTTTAGTGAGTCTTTGCCTGAGATAAGACATACGAATATCTTCTATTTTGGATTTCTCATTAGATTGTGGTTGCTCGTTCTCCCCGGAATGAAAGGATGTTTGTCCAGTAATAGAATCGGGAGATCTATCAAAAGATCCAAAAGTATCGGGAACCATGATGCAGTCGTCCAATATGGTATCACTATCACAATGGTTGTTTTGTCCTTTATCACTTTGGATAGAATCTTGTGTATTAGAATCCAAGGAGGATTCGTCCAACCTTTTATTTGTGTCCAATCCTGGACTAACGCATCTACTGCTAGGCAATATGGGTCGGGATATCTGGAGAAATAGTCTGGAAGTAGGGTGTTGATCCTGTTCGCAAACAAGCCTATCTGAAATGGGCCCCACTTCGATTGAATTTTGTGAAATATCTGTGGCTTGATCATCCAATCATATCGGTCGAACGTCATTCTTGATGCTAAGTCTGCTAATGTGTTCAATTTCCTGGGAATATGTTGTGCTATTATCTTCAAGTTCCTGGTTAGGCATATGTTCCAGATCTTTTCTGCTAGTTTGCTTAAGTTCTGGGAGATCGTCCCTCCTTGGTGATTCAAATATGCTACACACGTTGAATTGTCGGTTCTGATTAACACTGATTGGTCTTTCAAGTCTTTGAATGCTAGGAGCGCATAGTGTATTGCTGTGAGTTCTAGAATGTTGATGTGTAGACATTTTTGTAGGTCGTCCCAATAACCAGAGAGTAGCCAAGTTCCCTGTGCTACTCCCCAGCCCTCCTTTGATGCGTCGGTGTAAATCACTGTGGTTGGAATGTCTGGTATGATGTTGATTCCGTTCCATTTTACTAGATTTTGTGTCCACCACTGTAGTTGTTTTATGCTTTCTTGAGAGAGTGTCAGGTGGGTGTTCCATCCATTGATCTTTATTGCATGATTTTTGTCTCTCAGTAATGCTCTTGTCATAAGTCGTGCTGGAAAAATTGTGCCAATAGTGGCTGAGAGCCTGCCAATGATCGCTGCTAATTTTCTTACATGTATGGTTGGTGACCTGAGCACCATTTTGCAATCTCTCAGTATGTCCTTTATCTTGTATCTGGGTAGTGCTAATGTCATGTTGCTGGAATTTATCGTGAAACCTAGATACTCTGCTTGTTGTGATGGTGTTAGTTTCGACTTTTCTAAGTTTATCATGAAGCCTAAGGTCGTCAGTATCCATGTGACTTCGCTTGTATGTTGTTTTGCTTCCTCTTTCAACTTCGCACATATGAGCAGATCATCCAGATAGGCTATGAGCCTTATCTCTTTGGTTCTGGCCCAGGACACCACTTGTTTGAGAATCTTTGTAAAGATTCTGGGACTGCTGGTTAATCCAAAAGGTAAGCATGTGTACTGAAATTTCTGGTTCATAAAATCGAAGGTAAAGAATGGCTGTGCTTGCAATGATAATGGAATATGCAGGAAAGCGTCAGAGATGTCGATAGTAGTAAAATAGTCTGTTCTTCTTATCAGCGACTTGGCTTGTTCTATCGTTTCTATTTTGAAATATATGTAGCGTACATATTTGTTGAGTGACTGTAGATCTATTACTACCCGATTTCCTCCAGATTTCTTTGGTATTGAAAAAATTTGGGATATGAAACATGGTGTATCTTTTTTGACCTCTTTTATAGCGCCTTTCTTTAATAGGTCTTTTATTTCTTTTATGATTAAATCTTGATTTTCTAAGACCTTTGTGTCATTTATGTCCTGAATTTTTAGTGGGGTGTGTAAGACCATTCTGGGGTGTATCCTTTTATTAAAATGTCCGTGACCCAAGATGGGCTGAATAAAGCTAGTCATTCGTGTACGTAATATGCTAGTCTTCCCCCTATTGTCGCTATTATTGTTGATTTTCCTGTGTGAGGCGACTCTGGAATGTTGTAGAGCCGCCTCTCTGCCCGTTTCCCCAGTTATTAGAGTTGCGATTATAGAACCAATAGTTATTGCGCTTATTACGACCATATTGATTAAATTTATAATTATTGCGAGAAGAAGTTGGCCTATAGTTGTAACTGGTGTTGCCTCTTCCATTTGAGGCATGACTCTTGTTCCTAAGAGCCTCTGAAATAAATTTATTAGTAGCATTCTCCTTCTCAATAAGTGAACTGAGGTCTTGACTGAACACCTCTTCATTATCAGCAGGTGGATTATATGATGGGGACAAAACCTTGATCGCTTGGTCCCTTCTATTTTGATTAATGAATGATAGTAAGTCGAGTAAAAGCGCTCTTGTGTTTGTAAGTAATCCTTCAATGAGTGACCAGGCTTGTAACATGTCTTGATCAGAGTGTGGGGGCTTAGATACGTAAACTGATTTAAGTACATTGTCCAATAGACGTAAGGCTGCTGATGTTCTGTATGCAACTTTGGCGAGCACTTTGTCCAATTCTTTTGCGTGACTAGGTAGTAGTCTCCAGATTCGTTTGTCCATGGCTAGAGGATTATAACTGATATTCGTGTTCCTTGGTTCATTCTTGAGGATATTTGAGCGTTGTGATCTGGTAAGTATATTGTCTTTGTGAATTTTTGTGGGCAAACGTGCTATTTCTCTGCTTGGGACCCATGTGGGTAGAGCATCACGTTCGTCTGAACTGAACTCAGAGTCCCGTTCGCCGTGCTCTGAAGCCTGAGAAAATATTTTGTCGACGTATAATGTATCAGTTTGGTGTACTGCACCCTCATCTTGGGTGGCTTGTGTATCAAGATTAGCTTGGAAATGGTAATCATTGACATAGTCCTGTAAGTCTTGAGCGTGTTGGTTTGATATGTTTTCATTACTTTCAATGAGTGTGTTATTCATAGCGAGGGCGATTATTAAAGTGCGGACGGCAGCCAAA